GTTTAAATCTTGGAAATGAATCTCTGGATGATGCTTCACTTTTAGAGGCATTGGAAAAGAATGGACTCTGGGAACAAGCCCGTAACTGGGCGAGGCAGTTGGGGGCCAGTGGAGGAGCCTGGAAATCAGCTATTCATCATGTCACTGAGACCCAGGTAAAGCTTTCGGTTTCATGTGTAGGATTTTAAGCTAGTAGATGGATTTTACGATTCTCAACCTAAATTGTCTACATGCAAGCACATACATCTATACTTTGATCCTTGTTCTCAATTTTGATTTGCCTTGCTCATGAGATAAGCATAACCTGACTTCTGTATTCTGTTGGATGTGTTCCATGGATTGTGATTGTTCGAAAATGTAGATTTTGCTCAAGATTAATTGTTATGTCAGCTGCATTTTTTAACTGCTGTTTGATTGAAGTGAATTTGACTAGTTTGGTTGCCTATGGTAGCTTATGTTCTTAAAGTTTCCTTGGTTGACAATTGAGATTCTGAAAAACAGATGCTCAGGCCTTTGTGTTTCTTTTTTCCTCTTGTCCTTTGTCTTTTTGGTTGTTGTTTGGACCTGGCCTCTCTTCCTTGGCATTGGATCTTCAAACTTCAGGCTGAATCAATGGTGGCTGAGTGGAAGGAGTTTCTTTGGGATGTCCCAGAAGAAAGAGTTGCTTTGTGGGGTCACTGTCAAACATTATTCATCAGATACTCCTTTCCTCCTTTGCAGGTAATTTCGGTTTTGTTCACTTAAACAACAGTTTCCATGTGAATCAAGTTTTACAAAGTTGCTAAGTGCATTTTGTCTTTTGTTTGCCTTTTACAGGCTGGCTTGTTTTTCCTAAAGCATGCTGAATCAGTGGAGAAAGATCTTCCTGCCAAAGAGCTGCATGAACTGCTGCTGCTTTCACTTCAGTGGTTAAGTGGGATGATAACCCTGTCTAATCCGTAAGTGATTGATCCTATTTTTGACATTCATTTTCTCTTGATGACTGCACTGGTCTGACATGTATATGATCACTTAACCAGAGTGTACCCATTGTATCTACTTCGAGAGATAGAGACTAGAGTGTGGCTCCTAGCAGTCGAATCAGAGGCTCAGATAAAGAGCGATGGAGAGTTTGTTTCAACTGCTTCAACCCGAGATCCTGCAGTTGGACATCCATCCAACATGATTGACAAGACAGCAAGTTTAGTATCAAAGATGGATGGTCATATTAATGCAATGAAGAACCGGTCTACTATCGAGAAGCACGATTCACGAGAAAATAACGGCATGCTACATCTCAAGAACCAGGTAGCTGATGCTAGTTCCTCGGCTGCTGGTGGAAGTATGAAAACAAAACGACGAACCAAAGGTTATTTCCATCCAAAGCGATCAGATGCTGAAGAGATATTTTCCAGTTCAGTTACTTCTAGAAGCGACTTGCCGTTACAAGACGAGAGTGGTGAGAAAATAGAGGTGTCGTTTTCAAAGTGGGAGGAACAGATTGGAACTGAAGAAATGGAAAGGGCTGTGCTTTCGTTGTTGGAATTTGGACAAATAAGTGCTGCCAAGCAACTTCAGCATAAGCTTTCGCCTTCAGAGATGCCTCCTGAATTTGTACTTGTGGATGCTTGTCTGATGATTGCAGCTATCTCTACCCCTTGTAGCAAAGTATCGGTTTCCATGCTCAATGAAGATGTCCGAGCTGTTATGCAATCGTACAACCTATGCACAGACCAGCATCTGATTGATCCAATAGAGGTTAGTTTCTTTCCCAACAGTCTCAATCTTGAACTCGAGCTGTCAAATTTACTAAATGTTTTATGTGTTCCTTAGTAAGCGAATTTTTCTAATCATATTCAACGGGAAAAAAAATATATAATCACCTCTTTTCTTATTCTTTCTTTTGGATACAGGTCTTGGAAAGTTTAATTCCCATCTTCACTGAGGGTAGGGGACGTGGAATATGCAAGAGAATTATAGCAGTGGTGAAAGCTGCAAATGTATTGGGTCTCTACTTTTCTGAGGCATTCGACAAGCAGCCACTTGAATTACTGCAACTGCTTTCTCTTAAAGCACAGGAGTCATTTGACGAAGCTTTACTACTGGTGCAGACTCACTCCATGCCGGCCAGTAGTATTGCCCAAATTCTGGCGGAGTCCTTTCTCAAGGTCAGTGTACTGTGTTTTGTAAATATCATGTTTGACACCTCCGTTTGCTTTTATTATGTTAGTCTGGCATCCACAATCAAGAAAATGCATGAATGATCGAATCTCGGGGATGAAGTTGGTGTTTCCAGCAGAATTGAAAACTTGGTTCCAGTTACCTGAACTTTTCTGTATTATTCTAGATGAAAGAATTAGATTTAAGATATCCAAGGTTTGTAACTAGTGTTAATATGTTCTTACGCACCACTGCCACTAAACTAACTCATTACATGTCTACCTGAGAACATTATGCTTTGGTACTTCCCCCCAAGTTCATTAGTTGATACAGTAGTTGAATCCTGTCAATCTATGATGGTTCTCTCCCAGTCTTCAATGATGCATTAGTGAATAATTTTCAGTCGCCTAATAGAGCAACTGCTGTATGTTATCTATTTCATTCCAGGGTGTATTGGCTGCACATCGTGGTGGATATATGGATTCTCAGATGGAAGAAGGACCTGCACCTCTACTATGGAGATTTGCAGACTTCTTAAAGTGGGCTAAGCTTTGCCCTTCTGAACCAGAAATCGGCCATGCCTTGATGCGCTTAGTGATTACTGGGCAAGAAATACCACATGCCTGTGAGGTATATTCCCAGATACCAATTTATCTGCATTGCTGCTGTGTTTTTCACTTTTGTCCTTGTTTTTCCATAAATAAAAACCTAACATCCATTTCTCAGTATAATCTTCTCACTAAAAGGGGAAATACTGATCATGGTGATTATATATGTGGTCTATATGAGCAATAATTAAGCCCTATAGCCTTCTATGGTAACATGGTCCTTGCATTTATGCTTGATTGTCTCTGTGTTAAGTTTCTCACTCAGCTACTGTTCTAGTTTCTCTATATTATAGTGCTATTAATATAAGGACATAGAGTGATGCAAATGATGACACTATTTATCTGATGACTGAATGGTTAGCTTAATCTGAAATCTATTGCTCTCTCAGGTCGAGCTCCTGATCCTCTCTCACCATTTCTACAAATCGTCAGCATGCCTTGATGGAGTTGACGTTCTGGTGGCCCTCGCTGCAACTAGAGTAGAAGCTTATGTGTCTGAAGGCGATTATTCTTGTTTGGCACGTCTATTAACTGGAGTTGGCAACTTCCAAGCACTTTATTTTGTTCTTGGGATTCTCATAGAAAATGGCCAGCTGGATCTTCTCCTTCAGAAGTTTACAGCTGCTGCAGAGACAGACTCCGAGACTGCTGTGGCTGTTGAAGGATTCCGGATGGCTGTACTTACAGCGCTGAAGCATTTCAACCCCAAAGATCTAGACGCATTCGATATGGTTTGTGCTTCCACTTACTCCTTTATGTTGCTTGTTCTGCTCATGGATTAATTCCTTTAAACCCCAACCTCACTCTCCTCTCTACCTTTATCTCTCTTTCTGGTGTTTTCCTGGCGGAGTGACAGGTGTTATTTCATTTCTTCCTTTACAGGTCTACAACCACTTCAACATGAAACACGAGATCGGAGCTCTCCTAGAGTCGCGAGCACGTTCCTCGTCCGAGCAGTGGTTCCGCCGCTATTACAAGGACCAGAATGAGGAGCTCCTCGAAGCCATGAGGTACTTCATCGAAGCAGCCGAGGTCTACTTCTCCATGGATGCTGGCAACAAAACCCGCAGTGCCTGCGCCTCAGCCTCCCTAGTCTCCCTACAAATTCGAATGCCTGACACTACACGATGGCTCAACTTGTCTGAGACCAACGCCAGGCGCTTACTAGTCGAGCAATCCCAGTTCCAGGAAGCCCTCATCGTCGCAGAAGCCTACGGGCTCAACCAGCCGGGCGAATGGGTTCTCGTTCTGTGGAACCAGATGCTGAAGCCCGAGCTGACCGAAGCGTTCGTGGCAGAGTTTGTGGCGGTGCTCCCACTGCAGCCTTCAACGCTGATCGAGCTGGCAAGATTCTATAGGGCTGAGGTGGCGGCAAGGGGAGACCAGTCTCAGTTCTCCGTTTGGCTGACCGGGGGTGGGATGCCAGCGGAATGGGCCAAGCACTTGGGAAGATCGTTTAGGTGTTTGTTGAAGGTGACCTGGGATCTGAGACTAAGGGTACAACTTGCTAGCATTGCTACCGGCTTTACGGATGTTGTGGATGCCTGTATGAACGCCCTGGATAAGGTTCCTGAGAATGGAGGCCCTCTTGTGCTGAGGAAAGGCCATGGTGGTGGATACCTCCCGTTGATGTAAGCTCCTATTCACCAGCCAGCTCTTTTATGGGTCTTCAAAGTAATCGGTAAGTAACTCTACTATGCTAAGGGGGAAATGTGGGGAAGATTTTTTTGGGGAAGGTAGCTTCACTAGTTCATGAAAATCCGGGCGAGATAAGAACAAGAAAGAGAAATCAATCAGGCGAGAAAGAAACAAGTCTTGTCGACATACTAGCCAATACTCTTGTTGAATTGCAGTGTGTGAAAGAAAGAGATCGAACGTCAGTGTACATTGGTTTAGGAAATGAGTCCCGTAGAGGTGGTCATTGGGCGAAAGAAACTGCCGAGAGAAACATGTCGATTTATGAGGGTGGCCAAGGACTGGTAGCCGTGGAAGGCAGAATGGACTCTTTTGTGACTTTTGGATGGAGAAGTAGACACTGTTTTCCCTTGTGTTGGAAAATTTCAGGTGGGATGAATGTTTGTTGAGTTACTGTAACGATTGAAGTCTTCTGTATATACAGAGTAGGTTGCCTTCGTTTCGAGTTGAACTTCAAAGTGGTGGTAAGCGCGAATCATTTTTGTACGAGATGTAGTGTACATTTTTTTACGAAGATAGCAATTGCAATGTTGTAATGTCTTCTAACAGCCAAATGGACTTGCTTGATTTGCACTTAAGACGAGGGATGAGTTAAATGTTCCTTATTGTTGTTAATTTCCATATGATGTCTCTTAACTTCATGCCATGATCACACTAGTTCACATCACTCTTGCATCGTGATTTGAACTCGATACAGGCGCATTTACTTTGCGCTAGCCTTATCTATTTCCTGATTAACATGAATCAACAAATGATGTTATGATCATACAAAACAACTCTTATAAATCATTATCAAGATATTGATTCACGTTACATCGACTAACGTATTAAAGACCACAACAAAAGGCATGAGTGAAAAAAGACGCTTGTGCATGTTAAGAACTAATCTCAATCCTAGGAAGTCTCTAATCCTGCTTCGGGTTCAAATGTGGAGGAGATGACGAGGGTCGCCTCTCTGCAAGCATCCTCTTTGTGCTCTCCAATACACCGAAAAAGATCGAACCCCCAATTCCTATCCACATCACCCTTGGCCCTATGCCCTGCAGAATGAAGATGATTGATATGAAGAAATTGTCGCGGGGTAAGCGGGGGAAAAGGATCTTCCTTTATTTAGCTTCATTCCTTATTCCGTAATCAACTATCATCAAAACAAAGCTCGAAGATAGATTGATGCACCTTAAGAAGAGCAGCAGGTCCTTCCTCCCTAATGACAGTTTGAACACAATCCACCACTCCTTTGTACTGGTTTGCTGATCCCTGTGGTGTTGTTTACAGACAAATTCGAATACAACAACAAAAACAACATTGAATATCGGTTCCACATCTTCCCAGGAACAAATAAAAAAGGAAAACAACATTGAATAGAATGCACTTTTGATTTGACTTTGGTACTCACTTTTCCTTCCTTTCAATTGGGTTTCGATTCCATAGATATTCATATTCTTAATTCTCAATACTTGTACTTTCCAAAGCCTAATCTAGGAAATGGCACAGAAAGTTAAGAAGAGTGCAGGGAGCAGGTAACCTGAATCATTAGTCTTGTCTTAATCACATCAAGTGGAGTAGTCACTGCTCCAGTTAGCGCACCTACAGAAGCGGGGAAGAAATTTAGAATTGCACATCTTTAAGGTGGAAATGTGGGATACCGGGTTGCAAATTGCAATCAATATACTCAAAAGTTACCAGCAAAAGCGCCAATCACAGCATTCTCGGCGTCATTGAGATCTCTTCGTGCCTGGTAAGAGAGTGAGAAGACACAGGTGTATTAATTATGTTTGTGACAAGAACAACAAGAAACCAAGACATGTTGTGGAACATACTGCTACTTTGTAACCGATCCGTAGCTGCTCGTAAATGCAAAACTGAATAGCATCAAATGGCAGATCACGCAATAAGAATGATCCATATCCCTGCGTTAAACAAATGAGCAATGAATCGTAAATTACTAGGAATAATTTTAAAGTGGAATGGGTATTATACATGAAAATACAGGAAAGAATAGCCTAATGTACCCTAAAGAAGACTCTTTTCAACTTGCCATAGGCTAAAGAAAGATTATTCTCGGCACAGATCCATCGTTAAGAAATGACAGTCTACATTTTGACAGAAACATGACCAAGTTCAGATTACATACCGCATAGAGACCCTTAAATCCCTCCTTTGAGACAATGAGCCGGACAGCATTCGGAGCAGAGGAAAATTGCCCCGTTTGCATCCTTGTTTTAACAACCTGAGGATTGAGAAAATCTATATCATTATCTCATAGATGATTGCAAATCTGTGAACAAGAATTAGAAAAATGCTTAGAAAACTATACCTCTGTTGGTACACGAACAAAAGAAGCAGCAAGCCCTCCTATGGCACCTGCAGTCTGCATTAAGTGCATTACATAACACAATTAAGTATAGCTTGTCATAGTCATGTACCTTAAGCCACATTAGACCCAAGAGGATACCATATTTTTCAGATTGTTAACCTGCTTAATATATTGACTTGCACAACTGAAAGTGAAAGTAACGTAGATTACTAAGCAGAAGCCGAATCAAACATCTTGTGCAATAGCTGAAAAAGCAGATCTTACTAGATGAGCAAAAGCACTAAGATTTTCAGGAAAAACTTTCAATAACTTCTGTTTCGCTGGCTCATATACTCCGACAAACAAAGCAGAAGCCCTGCACACAATACAAGAAAGCCTACATCAATCCCAAACTGTCAGCAGGAAAATCGATGAGCATGAGGAGACAGCTACCGGAAAGGAATTATTCAGAAAATTATACCGAGAAACAAATGCTTCAGAGAGAAAAGAAAGCAAAAATAAAGTTAAATTTACTGATCTGACACTATGTAAGATTATCTAACTTCCTACACTAGCTACATTGTTCAATCAATTGCCGAAGGGCGAAGATCACAAAGAACGAGCTTTGAAAATGCAACCCAAACTTACGGTAGGACGCCGGCAATATTTCCAGCCAAGCCAGAGTAAAGACCCTTCCAGGCTATTTGTCCACCACCACGAGCTGCCTGTAATATATAAAAAAAAAAACACACAAAAACCTCAGCAAATCCCTATACTTAACCATCACTTCCAATTACTGAATCACGCCCACATTCACAAGCAATCATATCCCGACTAATCAATCTCCACACATTTGCTATGGAAGGTTAATCTTGCTGAAGGAATCATGCTCCACAGTATACAAAAATGAAGCTAAATCCGAAACAAATAACGAATCACTCCACCGCAAACTAGAAGCACAACAACTTAACCTGCCTGCAACCTTGTCTTGATAGTATCAATGGGATACAATGCCGTTTCAACTACTACACCAGCAGTACCTCCCGCAATTACTCCTTCTGCAACATTTTGCACCAGGGCAGTAGCCAGCATGCATCAGAAACCACGCCATTGATTTAGTTCTATCGCAACAATTTTGAGCACACACGATGTTACTGAACATACCAAACACAGTTCGCAAGAAATCAAACGGCTTCTCCTCTTCTCCTCTAGTGCTGAGCGAGGCGAAAGGCTTGCTGCGGGTTTCGAGCTGAGCGATGTGCATTTTCCCGCCTGAGAAATCCAGAGGGTTCAGGAAACCGACAAATTCGAGTTCGAGCTCTCGAAACGCCATTTTCATAGGCGAAAATTGAGTTTTCGGCTTACCGGAAGCAGTCTTCGTTGTTGTATCCACGGCTAGCGTGAGAGGAGCCATGGTTTTCAAAGCTGCTTCGATGCTCGAGTGGAGAGTGTTTTCTCTCCGGAGAATCGAGTGTGAGAGGAGAGGAGGTGATGAGCTCGGCGGAAGGATGACCGGTGATTTCGCCGGCTAATCTGGTCGGCGCCGACTGGTAGATATCTCTCTCTGGCGAACGGAGAGCGATAGGGTGGATATAGTTCAGACCGAAAGCGTTAGTGGGCCGCCCGGTTTTCTTCGTCTATTGGTGGATCTTGGCCCAAATCTGATTGTGAACTTGGGCGGCTCAAATCAAATCGTGTTGGAAAAAAAAAAAACAAATCGTGTCATGGCCAAAATTAATATTAAATTTTTCTAGTAACTAAATATGACACGATTTAGTAATCTCAGTGACCAAATATGTCATTTACCCCAAATCAATCGATATTGTCTACTGTTTGTCTAGTGTACAAGTTGTGTATCATTCTTTAATCGGTTGGTCTAATTTGTGAAGGATTTAATTTTTTTTTATTATAGAAAATGAAACGCTTAAAAGGCATCCGAATCTTTATGCATCAAATCAAACAGGGCGTTTGAGCCTCCACCAGATCAAACTATAGCCAATACAAGAGCATACAATTCGGTACATCAAAAGTATGTATCCCTAAGGGAGTGCCCCCATAGAGGCAAGATAGTCAGCTACATAGTTCGCCTCACAATAAACACGCTCTATCCTAACTTGCCAAGGTCTGTCGATCCAATGTCTGATCTCTGCAGCACTCGCATAATGTGGATTGGTAGGCTGTGGGGTGGGCGGAGGGATGGCAGCTAGGAAGATGGGTTGCGGCAGGGTTGAGTATAACATAGAGAGTAATCACGTGTGAAATTTTTTTCATTTTCAAAATTAACCTTAATTTAATTTTTACTATTAATTTAAAGATAGAGTGAAATAGAGATACTGAAGAGTGTACATTTTGATAGCCACCATAATTACTCAAAATTGTCGAGCATTGCCCAAATGTGAAGTGGCCCTTTATGTTTAGGAAACAAGCCAAAAGTTGTTGCCTTTAGCCTTTAGGGACTTGGAGCCTTCCACGTACTATCATTGGAAGTAACATGTGTACAAGATAGTTTTTTGTTGTATATCTTAATTTGACATGATGGGACTTTTGTACAAAATATAGGACCACAAACGATTGATCATTGATATTCTACACGTCAAAAGCTATCATCAATGATTGATGTTGGACACGACGAGAATCATAAATTATTTTTGTGGCGAAAACGTTCGATTTCAAGATAAATGTTGATGCGGCTTGTTTAGAAGGGCAAGGAATAGGGCTGGTGTTGTAATGAGAGATAAGGAGAACCACAAACATTGTTACTAATTTCAACGACAAACGTCACTGTTGTCATCGCCCAATGTTGTTGTGATTGGGGTTGGGGTGGACTAGGGCAGCATTGCGTCCCCCAACATCGTGGTACATATGTTGAAAGACAATAGATTCAAGAAGGTAAAATTGTTCAATCGAGTCGGATTCTTACACTGTGAACAAGAGCAATACATGACGAGACGGTGGTCAAGAGCAACATGACGCGGGGGAACTGTCTGTTCCCGACTCAGATTTCGACCGACGGACAAAGGATCAGCAGCCACCGACCGTGGTAGATTAGTTGCGGGCCTCCTGGCGTTGTTGTTCACTTTGTAAGGTCCAAGGAGACCAAGACAACATCGTTAATTGATACATCTTTAGGCGTAATTGTTTTATTGGTTGGAGCAATGCAATGCAAAGTGATATCAATTTCGACCTGATTCTGTGTTACGATATGAGTGGATCTGTCTTGACATTTATGGGCCGTCCGATCTCGCATCTCATCCAAGCGTTGTTGTTGTTGAATTTGTACGTCTACTGTCTACAGAATCTAACCCCCTCTTTGTGGAACCAAATAGGTAAGGTAGCGAGGTAGGTAACTCCGAAGCTTTGGCGGGGGTCACGTTATTCGCAAAGCCCTGTTTTTGTTTCTTTGTGGCCAACAAATTCCCCCCGCAGAAGAGAAAGGACGGCCAGTAACGTCGCCTTCTTCTTCTTCTTCTTCCCCACACAGTACTCGCTACTCAGTATTCACAAGCAAGTTCATATATTGTGAACTGCCTCGCCATTTTTTATACAGGCGGAGGCCGCAGCCTCACGCTTTCAGACGGAATCTGCTTCCCGTTTCGTCAGCTCTTTCAGGTTCTTTCATCCAATTCCCCCTCATTTCTTTTGCTGCTGCAATGGGGAATCTGCTCTAGTTTCTCTTGTTTGTTTCTCTGCTCCAGTTTTTTTGGGGATTTGGGTTGTTAATTCTTTTTTGGTTTTGTTCTATCGAGCCTGTGCTCTTTATCAAGTTTTGACTTGAGCTTTTTGCTTTTGCATTTCGATTGAGTTTGGGTTGTTTTTTTTTTACCAAGAAGTTTGGGTTGTTTGATCCGAAAGAAAGTTGCAGTCTTTTTTCTGGTTTTCTAGCTGTTCATTTGTATTCTTGCTCTTTATCAAGTTTTGACTTGAGCTTTTTGCTTTTGCATTTCGATTGAGTTCGGGTTGTTTGATCCGAAAGAAAGTTGCAGTCTTTTTTCTGGTTTTCTAGCTGTTCATTTGTATTCTTGCTTTGTGGTTATGTTCCTGACCATCCTGTTCATTCTAGCAAGTCAATAACTCAGATTTGTACTCTTGTGATCACCAGGGTAGGTTTTTCGACCATTAAAACTGCCTCCTGATCCGGAAAGGGAGGAAAAAAGAAATGGATAAAGCTAATGAGAGGGCCAGTGGGTTGCTAGGCAGATTAAGTGGTTTCATGAGGAGTTGCCTCTTCAAGGTCCTCTGCATGGGTCCAATCCCAACCCATTTCTCCTTCATAATGGATGGCAACCGCCGTTATGCCAAGAAGATGGACATGGGGGAAGGAGCTGGTCACAGGGCAGGGTTCTTCGCTCTGGTCTCGGTGCTCAAATACTGCTACGAAGTTGGAGTGAAGTACATCTCCGTCTATGCCTTCAGCATCGACAACTTCAAGAGGCGCCCCGAGGAAGTCAAGACCATAATGGACTTGATCCTGGAGAAGACCGAGGGGCTTCTCGAGGAAGGCAGCATTGCAGACCAGTATGGCGTGAGGGTTTACTTTGTCGGCAACTTGAAGCTGTTGAGCGAGCAAGTGAGGATTGCAGCCGAGAAAGTTATGGAGGCTACTGCACATAACACCAGGTGTGTGCTCTTGATCTGCATAGCATACACATCTTGCGATGAGATTGTGAATTCGGTTAGGGAGTGTTGTAAGGATAAGATGGAGGAGATTGAAGACGAAGAGGGCGATGATGGTAGGGTGGTGAATGAGCATTCGGCTATACAGTTGGTGGACATTGAGAAGCACATGTATATGGGAGTAGCTCCTGACCCTGATATCTTGTTGAGGAGCTCTGGGGAGAAGAGGTTGAGCAATTATCAGCTATGGCAGACGACTCATTGCACGCTGTATTCGCCCACAGCGTTGTGGCCTGAGATTAGTCTGTTGCATGTGGTGTGGGGAATTCTGAAGTTCCAACGTAGTTATGCCTACTTCGAAAAGAAGAAGAAGATGTTATAAGATTATGGAAGGCCCAGAGAGAGGAGGGAGGGTCACCTAATTTGTGTTGTAAGCTTGTTCAAAAAGCTTTGTTGCTTCTTTACAGGTAAAAGAGTGCTCATGGTTTGCATTCTGCATATAGACAGTTTCTATAGATGACCACTGAATCATGGTTGAGTTGAAGTTATATATATGTGATGATAATAACATCCGTGTTCCTATGCTTATATTGTAATAATGGCCGAGATTATTTAAGGTATCAAATTGAGATTTGGTTTCTGCTCAGCTTCCAGTCTTTTGTAGCCATTCTGGTCTGGATTGTTCAACTCTCTCATTTGATCATTTGGCTTCATTTTTACCCTTCTCCTGATGGCTTCTAGTCCGTTAATATAGCTCAACTTTGAGGCAACTATTATAATTAGTATGTCCTTGATGACTAAAGTGTCATGTGTGTTGAAAATCTGGTCTCCTAACTAATTCGGATACCAAATAACGAATGCGTCGTAAAAAATGCTAGGAAATTTGAGGTCGAGGGGCAAAAGAACTAAACAAGACCTTTCAACATACATGGTATCTGGATCATATAAAGCTAATCATAGCAGATTTAGACAGAATGTTTAACGGATAGACTAAAAATAGATAAGCAACATACTACATGAATTTGTTCATTGGAAGTCATATTTTTGTTTAATAACACAATGTGCTTATTATAATCACATAATACAGGGATTGGTAGAACAATCGTTCAGCAATCTCAAAACTATGCCGGATAAATGAACAGGACGGATACTATACAGTGTGCATCAATCCTACACGTTTAGAATACAAAGTATTAGTTTTTCTTGTATTTATATTCTAACTAATGTGACACATGATTTCTCATAGAAGAGAGATAGAGAGAGAAGTTGTGCAGATCATCTCATTCTCTGCATGCCTGCAACTGCTAAGTTCACTTGAACCTGTCTAAGGTTGAGCATATAAGAAGTAAAGAAAGTAGTGCTTCAAACTTTGGCATTTACCTAATTAGAGGCCAACTTCAGGTCTCTAACATCAATCGCCGAATGCAAAGCTGACCCATCTGGGATTCCTAGTGGAGGATCATGGCATGAACAGTTATCCACTTCAAAAAGCTCCCATTCTTTGATCCCACATTTCTCCAAGGCAGAAGCTACTCTCTTGCGCTCCTTCTCACTCGGAAACCGTCCATCTGGACTAACGAGAACTGCGCCAGTATATGATTGACCAGCAACTCGAGCAGCACCCTTGTAATGAAACAACCCCCAGGTCAGCTCATCACATACATCCACAATCGTCCAGAACTCATTCGATACAACCCCATTGTCCAACACGCTGAAGTTGAATGTTCCAGGAAGTTTGTCTCTCTTGACTCGATACTTTCTCCTTCTCCACACCATGGCCCCTCCTTCCAAGGTCTTCACCTGGAAAACTGGTTCATACCAGAATGACCCTTTGGCCTTCCCTCTGTAGAACAACTGATACTGACATGGGAACTGATCATATGCTGGGTTCTGACCAGCGACGACTCTCCAACTCCACTCCAATTTCCCTAACCAACCCACAAAGAGATCCTCGGCTATCTCATGAGTCATCTCCTGCCCACGAAACGCGGCCATGGGGTCAACACTAGGCTTTTCAGGGATCTTGGCATCTAATTCAAGACAGTTGTGCTTCTGCAGCACACAAAGCGAGAATGCCTCGAGCTTGGGGCTCTCGTACGAGGCGATGCACCGATAGTTACAAACCTGATCCACGGGGCTACAACGGTTGAGGCACTGCAGAGCTTTCCTGCAGTTAGGATCAAACAAGCAATCCAATATCTGAGATCCACAATTCTTAACCATGCAGGTTAGTGTCGAAAACCCTTTTGATCTCAAGTTCTTGAGGATTGGAACCGGCCGTATGTATGCATTGATGACCACCAACAAACAGAATCTTATATCATCCGTGTTATGCCTGCTCCATGCTTCGGCCACAGTCTCCACAACGTCCTTCGATTCCTTCTGTACATCAGTTCCACCAAGCTTGTTCACCAGCTTCGAAGAGGAATCGAAACAGATTACGTTGGGTACAAGTTTGCCCTTGTTCTGAATCCAATCTATCGATGCTTGATTTGTTACAGCAACTACAAGCAATATATCAGCACTTTCCAATTCCGTTTCTAGAATCTTGGTGCGGCCAGAATCAGATTCCTCCAACTCGTCAGTGAAAACTAGCATTTCGTAAGCTTCGTCGACCCATTTCAATCTCTTCGCCTGTTTCACAAAACCCAAACCCCAAAATTTTCAAAATTTGAAGCAAACCCCCGAAGTTTAAAACCACCACAAGAAATTCCCCAAAATGATTCTTACAGTGTGCAGCATGACTTCTTCCCAAGTAGCGGACTTGAGCGGGCTGACGCTTCCCCCTCCTACGAAGGCCACGATTTTCACCGGCGACCCAGGTGGCGGATCCACCGTCTCTTGAGCCTCCTGCTCGAGAATGGCGGGAATTTTGGTCGGTCTCCCGCGGAAATCGGTCGTTGTAGCGTGAAGGAAAGATGGAGGGGAGGAAACGAGCCGGAGAAGCTGGGATGGATGACAATGGGGAAATCTGACAGACGGGAACCGGCAGGAACCCACTACGGCGGAGAAGGAGCTCCGTCGGAGCAGAAACGGAGAGGGGAAATGGCGGCGGAGGTGCGTCGGAGATGCTTCCGGAGACGACATCCTGATAGAACAGATGGATAGCAAAGAGTAACAGAGTTCGTTGGAAGAATCCCCGCCAACAAAACCAACTCTCCTTAGCCTCTTATTGGGCCCAACAGAAATTCCGGAGATGAATGGGCTTGGGCCAAGGAGATCAACCCATTGATTAGAGGCCCAAGACCACTTCAGGGCAGCATAGTAAAAACAGTAAAATCGCAAGTTTGTTACTGGAATCGTTCAGCTAAAAACAAAGCTGTTAGATTTTCTTTTGAAGAGATCTCATCTTCCCCACAGGAACCAGAGGAAAGGTAAAAAAAAAATTACGTAACAGTGAAAAAAAAAAGGTGAACGAAAGATGGCGTCGGCCGGAGCAGCGGGGCCGTTCTGGAGAGCGGCGGGGATGACGTACGTGAGCTACTCGAACAAGTGCGCGAGCATGGTGAGGAATTGCCTCAAGGAGCCTCACCGGAGTGAAGCGCTGGATCGGGAGAAGGTTCATTTCTCCATCTCCAAATGGATCGACGGAAAGCCCGAGAAACCTTGTAAATTTTTTTTTTTTACTCTCTTCTCCTTCTTGGATTCTTGTTTATCGAATAACGAATTGGTTTGGTACGTGCCAGAATACTCTGATCTCTTGGAAGCAGACATTTGGTCGTGTTTGTTGTGTTCTTGTGGTGAAATATTATTGTTGACTTGTTTTCTTGTGTTTTTTTTGTTTATAGTGATTCGGGAGGGTACCGGCGGAGATTGACTCTGAGTTCTTTGGAGGAATTTGAACTAGCAATCGAATTAAACGTTTTGTCTTCGTTTGAGCTATTCACTTGCAAATAATGATGTGAAATGTTCTTTCATTTATTTACGTAGTTGTGTGTTTCTTGATCGATTGTGTTGGAGTTTTGTGATTCTTTTGTTTTATGAAATTGAATTTTCGGTTCTATAAACACTACCAACCCCCAGATGATACAGATCTGAATCAAATTGTTCTCTTGAGTTTCTAGAAATGAGATCTTCATTGTTAAACCCCAAAACATTAATGGTTAACTTGATGTTTCATTATGATCTATGTGTTTGTTAATTCATTCATATCCTCACGAGAATGCTAACTCATCGGGAGGAGTTACGGTGCTAATTGTACAATAGTTAGCACCGTCCTAACCAAGGGAAAAACTACTACTAGTTTGAATTAGTAGTGATTTAGCTTAGATGTTGTATTGATTTTATAATAATCCGTAGTGATTTCATTGTTTTTAATAGCATTTTTACTAGTTATCACGGTGCTAACCCTGGGGTTAGCACCTAATCCCATCCCTAACTCATCTAATCGACCCGTTATTGTTAGAATTTCATCATTTATTATCACGCGAATTTGTTACCATACCTTGAATCGTTTCATATTACCGATTACCCGTATCGGTTGGAATCAAGTACCATAGTCAATGAAGAGAGCACAACATGCAGTAGAACATGTCAAAAATAACAAGTTGAAACCATAGAAGAAACGAATGCTACTGAAAATTTCGATTAGCTTTGTGTAAAAAGTAATAACAGAGAGACAAAAGATTACATGCCGAAATCATAAACTGGTGTGTAATAATTTCCGAGTGGGTGGAACAAAAATTACAGCTTTTTTCCTCCCCACAATAGAGAGAAATAAATTACTATAGCAACAAAAAAAAAAAAAAAAATCGATCACTCAAAGACAGATGCGGCAAAAGCTTGTGTGACCTGTGGTAGTAAAGATATCCGTTTCCTCCTCCCCAAAAAAAAAAAGATAACCTTCTGTTTGGTTGATCCCTCCATAAGACCAGAGAATGGAAGAGAGAGCACTCGCCTCTCATACCTTCTCTTCAGCTTCCTCGGTGGCCTCCACGGGATCTTCGTGCTTCTCGGCCTTGCTGCCGCCGTTCATGGACAGACTGCGGCGCTCTTTCCCTCCGGGCCTAGCAGAGGCGTTGCCGTACCAGACCATCCCAGCCACGGCGATGATCATCCCGAAGATGACATGGAGGTTCAGGCCGTCCTTCCCGAAGAAGATGAATCCCAGGATCAGGACGAGGATGGTCTTCATGTGGCCCAGCACTTGGAATGACACTGCGGTGAACCTGCCGATGCAGATGAACTGGCTCAGGTTCGTACCGACGGCAATGCTGCAGGACAGGACTATGAACGCCTGCACCAGGATAACACAAAAAGAAGAAGACAGATCAGATTCCCTCCTGGAACATGAGAAACTTGACGGGTCATAACTCATTAGGATGTGCAAGTAAGAATGTATTCTGGAAAAGGAAAACACATGGGGAGCTGAAATACGTGTTTTTTTTCTTTTGTATCAGATTGGGCCAACAACAAATGATGAGTAGTCAGGAACCATGCATACTTGGAATTACAGAATAATCCCAGGATACCAAAGGAACCTCTGAAACTGTATGCGTGAAGCACAATGACCATCTATTGCTTGGTTTCGTCAGGACTAAATGTTATGTAGCTTCAGGAAAGAGAGTATGGATAATGATGGTTCTCTAGAAGGGAAGGTATTTGTTCGTGCAGGTTTAATGCGCACATCTAGAAGAAGTCATGAAGGTATGATATGACTACACTGACATGCAAATGTAGCTTCAGGAGAGAGAGTAGAATGGTTACAGGGAAGCACGTCCTTGATTCAGGAACTGAAACGTGAAAAACTCACCACAGATGTGAAACTGAATGGATAAGCGTCAACTCGTTTACTCGTCAAAAAGTAGTCCACAAAGGGCCCCACTAGCAGCAGCGATGAAGCTTGAGCTGGAGCAGTATGCCCCAACAAGTTGAAAGAACCTAGATTGTACCTCCGTTGTAGATAGTGTACATACTGCATGATAAAGGAAATAATACGACTGTTACAATTCTAGATCATCAAGCAAAAACAACCCTGGACTAACAAAAGTCGGCCAGTAGTTCAGCCAAAGTCTGAGATAAGCCATCTTGGGTACGAGCAGCTACTTACATATTGCTGCAGTGCAGTGCTCCAAACTGCTATCAAGGCAGCTATGAACCCCTTGGCATTAACGCTTACATCTGTAACAGTGCAAACAGCAACACCGAGAAGGACTACCAAGATGCTTAGCTTGGTATCTCTTGAATATCGTACTTTATCCAAGACAACTTCCAGAAAACATGAAACTGGGATCATGCTTAGCTTTGCAATCTGACAAGTTCCAAATGAACCGAGAACCTTATTAGCTTCTAAAAACCCACATAAGAAGAGAGAACACATAGTTTAGTAGTTCAACAAAACCTCACCTGATAAAATCCAACCGAGTTCCACATTAGACTCACGTTCATACCAACGATGGAGAAGTTTGCAAAGAAAACAAACTTCAATAGGTCTCCTAATGGTAAATGAGAGGGCTGGATGTATCCCAACCATCTTAGAACAAGAGTTAACAAGGTCGTTGTGGCAAAATGGAGACCGGTTAGTGTTGTTGCTGCAAACCATACCAAATTGAACAGAAAACATCAGACCCTGTGATAACACCCATCATAAACAGAGAAACACAGAAAGAGACAGCTGCAGAGTTCAAGAAAAACAACCCCCGGCAAAGAAAGCACAGTTCTTTTTCACTCAACTTAGAAAAACCAAATTCTCTAGGCAATCACATAAGAAGCAAAGTCCATCTGAAATTTTGAAGACATGCCAAGAGCATAATAAGGACTTCGGCAGCAGAAGCGGCAAACTTACCAAAGCTAAAGCCATAGGTAGCCATGAGAGCTTTATTGACGATGATAATTCCAACAGAAGTGACGACATTGAACATCCATGAAGCTGCATCGAGAGATGCCTTCTTATCAGCTTTGCTTGGCGAAGACATCCTCTCTCACTCCTTCTATAACACCCGTAAAACCTTTATGGATGCTCGACGAAATTCCTCAGTCACAACAGATCGCTCTTCATGAGACTACGAGCTCGAATGTTGTGTTTGAAAAGATACCGCAGGCAGAGTATCTGCATTCACAAGACAAAGTCACCATCTGAATTCCAAGACATTCGGATTTGAATCTTAGATTCAATCAAGGCTTCTTTTTAAGTAGTAGTAGTGATTGATCATGAAAAGGGTCCATAAAAAGAAAGAATTCCACACGAAGACGCAAATCTACAGAGTCCTGAACCGGATCGCCATCGGAGAACTCCGGCAAATTAAATAAAACCCTAACAGATCAATTTTTTACCAGCGGAAAACGCTTAGAGAAGAAACTCTCGAACCCAAGTGGAAACCGAAATACCTCATCTGAACAAATTTAAACGGAGCAGATTAGGAGTGAAGAAAAAACGCAAGCAAATCAAGCAGGGAGAACTGAATACTCCAGGGAAGACGCGAGCAAATCAAACAGAAAGATTTATCGATCTGCCATCAGAATCGCCAGCTGAAGCTCAGAGAATCGATCGCGAGAGATCAGAGTGCATTTTCCCAGCTGAGAAGAAACAGATCCATCACTCGCCGGCGGCGGCACAGCAGTAGCAAAAAAAAACAGGAAGTAGTACGGAGCTGAATCCGAAATCCAGCCGCCGGGGAGAACACTACACATCTCGATTTCAACAACAACACGGAGATGCGAAACGGAAACACCAGCAGAGATCGCAAACATCCAGAGAAAACGCCGAGAAGGAGAAAGTTACTGAAGACGTAGAGGACGCACCTTTCCGGCGAATTTGGAAGCTGAAACACAGCAGTAGGTAGCTTTTTTTAGCTCCCCCGAGTAGCCGCCGAAAGCGGAAAACCCCTCCGTTTACCGTTCTGGTTCTGAAATTTTCCCCGGGAAACAAACGGAAAGGGCAATGCGATTGCGCGGAGAATTCAGGACGACGGGGTTTGACAAGGGAAGGAAATGGAGAAGCCTCGGGATTGACGGAGAAGGTGGGATCGAGATGGAGGCAGAAGAAGAAGAAATCGCATGGAGAATGAGAGAAAGAAGAGAAGAGAATGTTTTAAAGAGGAAGAGAAAAGGAAAGAATAAAAACAGCAACAAAAAAGGAGTGGAAAAAAATCAAAATCCCAGCAGTTATGGTAATTCAAGGAGAAAAATCATTGATGAGTGAAGTTTCACTTTCGCCATTAATCCCACACAAACAACATTTGTGGCATAGTAGTGTATTGACGGTTGGATCGCAAATATTGTTCATCATCGAACGTAATGAAGAGTTGTTCCTATTAATCGATAATTCGATATAATGCAGTCGATTTGTCTAATTATAATATTGATTGATTTTGTTGGATTTGATCGACTGTTGTATTGGTAAATTATCGATTGGATGTATTATCTCAACACTCATTGCATATCAAATTATCATTGTGTTACTAAATATCATTTCAGCTAACCTATTTGATAAAAAAAACTTCGATATTCTTTCACCATCATTGGCTTCGATGAAATCATTGTTCTTTTCTAAGTAATCAAATTGGGTATAATTCAGTGTTGTGAAAACCGAACCGGACATCGATCCGGATTAATGAGAGGTTTAAGGTTTATCGGATAACCGTTGATTAACCGGTATTAAAAACCGTTCACAAACTGGTACTCGATTCTAAAAAAAGAAGAGAAAAATATAGAATAAGAATTAAAAAATATCAAAACGCTAACAATAGTGGAAGGGCTGATGTTGGGTCACATTTATTTTCACTTACCTTGTTTGCTTTTCATTATTAATCCATTAAAAAATTGCAAAAAGTAGGCGCCAGCTATATTTCCCCAGCCGCCCGTTTTCTTGCTTCCGGGGCCGGACTTGTGCCCGGGTCCGGTTTTTACCGGTCTGACCGGCCGGTCCGGTCCGGTTTTAATAACACAGGTATAATTAGAAACAACAAAATTGGAATTTTTTGTGAATTTGATAACGGATACGTTTCATGCCAAACGTTTTTGGTATGTATTTGTATCATTGTCATCTTTTGAGGAGGAAAAATCAGATACCAAAAAGAATATTCCTCCCGAAATACAAATTTTAGCTTTACATATTGTTTTTAATTATTTTATGTTTTGTGTTCTGTTATGAAGCATTGTTGCTTAAGTCGAAAACAAAACTTTCGAAAGATGTTGGTGTCAATGTTCAAATCCAATAGTAACTCTCAAATTTCATATGTTAAGGGGGAAAATAATCATAAGGAATTTGACAACCTACAAATATTTTGATGATATATTCCTTTTTGAGAAAAAATATTTCCTTTTGGTTAGATTCGATTTTAGTGCAAGCAAAACTTAAAACAATATAATGAATAATGATCTAGTTTAACGATAAAGTTATCCCCGCTTGTGATCTGTAAACTAGTTTGTCTGATTGTAGAGTCTTTGAGGTGGAAAAGATACATCGATTAGATCGGACAAAAATCACCTTAATGGAAAGAATTCATATTAAGGATTTCATTATAATATGTTGAACCAAATAAGGTGTTGACGACCGTCAAACACTTGATAAAGATAAATGCTTTGATTCTAAAGTCGACAACAATTACTTTTGCTTCACTAATTTCGTCGATCAAACAAATAAGGGAACTAGAAACGCCATCATCTTTTTGTGACTGGCCCTTTTATATGACGACTCCCTAAGTTGCGAGATGTATGTTGTATGCAGGAAATATCTGTCATACTGAATCTCATATTAGAATCACCAGGTAGTGTATGAACGCTAGCGGGTCACCAGTTAAGTTAAGGGTTTAGAAGTTCTTGGTCCTATATATATATATATGCTCAAGTTCATTTGATGAAGAAATGCCCATTATTAGTTAGATCCTAGATCCCAAATTGAATCATTTGCCCTTCCAAAACCAACACTAAAAAATATGGTATCAGCTTTCTTTATGACGCTCTTGATTATCAAGATAAAGTTTTAATCTCCAGTTAAAGCTCAAATTTGAACCAAATAATGACCCAATAGCCAATGGGGATTATTGTGACTCTTTAATTGGCAGTATTATCCCATGTTACTATTCAACAGCACAGTACATTTCCATCTATATGATTTTACTGTTTTAACTGAATCTCCATGAGAAACAAATAACCATTCTCAATGTGTATTAAATAGAGGGAAAGAATTGAGTGCGTTTATAAAATATGATCATGTCCACATGGAAGTTTCACTTTCACATGGCCACGTGTCACATATATTCGATGTGAATGTGATTTAGATTTACGATTGATCTTCTCAACTTCCCTTAGCTTGATGGATGCTTATGAATTGATGATAATGCAATTTCCTTAACACATTGTAACAAACGTGGATTGGAGAATGTCATTTCCTTTTCATGAGCCACTTTCTTGTTTCTAATTCTCCCATGAATTTGCATTTTTATGTGTAGACGTGGATTGGATCTGTAGACCCATTTTGGAAACATGCACTCTTTTGTCGATGTGATCCTCGACGACAAGGATGAGGGTCATCGTCTCTTAATTTTATTTCATCAGTTCATTGGGAGTGAAACCGTTTGAATCGTACATGCAAACAATGTTTAGATACGCAGTGGTGCAAGAACGAATCTCGGTCATTAGGTCGAATGAGAAAAAATTATGTAAGGAGGAGAAGAATATAGATACAGAGCTACCTAAATAAAGGGGGTGTAGGCAAAATTCATCGATAGGGTAGAGAGGAGTCTTTTTTATACATGCTTGTTCCTCGGTTTTTGGATTGAGCTAAATTGAACAGGGTGGACGTCGTATGCTAACAATTTTTAGGCCTTATAAGCGTCAATACTTTGCAGGGCTTGACTCCATTCAAATGAGCGCTCATGATTTTTGGCACGATGGACATGGGTCTAAAGACAAATGTTTACAATCTTGATAAGGCGAGAGGTTGGATCAATAAATAAGTTGTGAACTTCCATACGAGTCAAAGTGAATAAGATAGATCCTAGTAATATATAAGAAAATAGAACACATCAAAATTTCTGAAAAAAGACAATCTTAAATTCTTGAAATGAAGGAAACAAATTAATCACACATGCACTACCTTAACATTATCTTTAAGTTACAATTAACTTGGCAACCACGTAAAGGGTTGAAAGTGATTTTTTTTTTAAACAATTGAGCATAACCTAGATACATTCTCTTTTTCCCAACTGGATCAATATTCTTGATGTCATTTCTGAAAACGTTCCGTATAACTGTTTTTTGATAAACTTCGATTCGAAACCATAATCGTAGATCCGATGCCATGTGTCAAGATATTGAAAAGAGAACTTATTGTTATGGACCCAAAATTTGGAGGGTACTCCAAATGTCCATAGCTAGATCCATGCATGCAATAAAAAATAGGGATTTGGTATGCGTCGACTATTCTTGGACTAGTACTCTTATTGGCCGTTGACCCTTCGTCCGGCTTTTGGTCTGTATGATATATTTAAGTTCATTTTCCCCACTTAATCAACAAGGAAAGCTTGGTCACAATCACAATTAATCAAATCAAAGCCAACAATTAAGGTTGACACAAGGCAAGGGTATGATTAGGCGGCAAACTATGGTGCATGTATTCGTTGATTAATTATCTTATTCCCAACTTAATTCGCGCACAAACAAAGTGCCGACTGCCGACTTGTATATGCATTTCTTTTTTTGATAAGGATGATATAATATTAAATAGGGAAAAGTTTACAGAAGCCCAGAAAGAGCCACCCAAGGACGGGCAAGCAGCCCGACGCAATCTCCAGAGAAGAGACAAGCAGCAGAAAGGGAACAAACGCATAGTATAGAGACCCATCACTTGTAAGAGCGACTCTACTCGTAGCGGTAGTTTGTAAGTAACCGAAATGAAATATATTTTGTTATTATATCGATAACTCAATTGAAATTCTGAGAAATAAAGAAATACGACACAGATTTAAAAGACGAGTAACATGAACAAACTTCCTGTAAGATGGGCCCTACCAACAAGTGGGAGTCTTCTTAAAAGTAGCATGCCTGAAGACCAGTAGCGAGTCACCACAAAATGTAACAACAAAAAACTTATGCATTAGAACCCATCTCATAGCCTACGAAAACTACTAAAATTACTAAAATCAAATAAGATCGAGCCATCACCTAGTAGAACTATAATTCTTGTTGCACCTCTTTGGTTCATCTTCATAGCCCATCGAAATCGACTATGATCTTTCCATGTAAAATGACCAACCAAAAATGCATTTGCAAGAAGGCACAAGTGCAAAGCAGAGTGTGGGCAAGTGTTTTAAGTCACCTGTTAAACAAAGAACAAATTTGGAATTAGCCTGTAATCGGCCTCCCGAGAGTTGGGGTACAGATTCAATCATATGAGTATGTCCTCTTACTCTCAGAAACAAACAATAACGCGAGGTCTGGTCAGAAACAACACTGGAAAACGTATTGAAGCCTATGTTTGTAATCTCTAAATCGGCTCAATTAGTGCTGCAGAACGGAAACGAACAGCCAATGGGTTGATGATTGCTTGGAAAAGGGGCCACAAGAACATCCAACTTAACCTTGACTCAACCACAACTATATCCATCATGAAATTTTGTGGGGATGACAGCCACCTCCATGGTTTCCTTGTCCAACAAGTTCCGACATATTTTGAATTGTGAGTGGAAAGTTCAAATCTCCAGTGTGCACAAAAAATATAATTTTGCGGCTAATTACTTAGCTAGTAAATGACATGGTGTGAATTTGGACACATATTGATTTGACATGAGCGAACTTAATCTTAATAGATGGATCCTATATGATGTAATGACTAATGAGTAATGACTAATGAGAATTGCTCAAACTAGTTTAGTGAGCAATGATACTTGGGACGAAGAGCAACCTTTAAAGTTTAAATAAAAGCAGGCTCAAATCCGTGAGACAAAGCCCAAAATAGAACTGCCGGAAAGTCCAATTTCGTGAAACCCACCATTTTTTCCTTAGATAATAAAATGACCTTGACCTATTTTTGAAAATAAAGGAAAAAGAAAATAGCGTTGCGATTCGAAGCAAGCATTCTCGCGTTCCCTCTCCTAGCGGATTATGGTGGACGCGATACTCCACCATTGCCGGCCATTCCTCCCGCCGCCGGCGGAGACCTCAGTTAAGCCCGCTCGAGCCAGAATCCGCCCAGCTTCTTTCCGATGTTGGAGCAAGGTCCTGTATCTTCAATTGTTTCGACGTCCTTTTGTTTTCACTGTTTGGGGGTGTTGAATGGAATGCAAATGCAGTGCAGGAGGGAGTACACGAGCGTAATGATAGTCCCGACCGGTGTTGGAGCCGCAATCGGTGGATTCGCCGGAGACGCTTTGCCGGTCGCTCGTGCCTTGTCCTCCGTCGTCGACTGCCTCATAACGCATCCCAATGTCAGTTTCTTGCTCCACTCGGTTCTTTTTCAGTGGTAGTATATTGAATTGAGTGAGAATGATTTCCGGGTATGCTTGGCGGGAAAATTCAGTGGAGAATTTAGGTTTTTGAGGTTTCTTCTTGTTGGCAGGTTCTTAATGCAGCGATGATGTACTGGCCGATGCCTAATGTGTTGTATGTTGAAGGGTATGCTCTTGACAGATTTGCAGAAGGCTTGTGGGCACTTGAACCTGTTCATCAAAATAAGGTAAGTTTGCTTTGATATTTTTTCCAGAGTGTGTAAATGGTGAATGGTATGGGGATGATGGGCTTTGTTTATTTTGTGATGTGAAGTAGGTGGGCTTAGTTCTTGATTGTGGAATAGAGGAAGAACTCAGAATTCGCCATTTGCAAGTGGCTGATGCGGCTAGAGCTTCTCTTGGATTGCCTGTTGTGGAGTACATTGTCACTGATACCGCATTAGAGGTTACCTTAGCATTATTGTCCGCAGAGAAAGAACAAATTTCTTTCTTTATTCACTAACTTTGCCATGAACTTCGAAACTCTTTCTGGTTTCGGGCAATTTGTACTTCTGGATACCAACATTTTCCCCATGTTAACTCATGGTTGTTTGAACTGACTTCTTTATTAGGTGGAGAAGTGGGTCGATCCGATGAGTGGTCAATCAACAGGAAGAATTAGGCATCCTGATTCTCTATTGAGAGCTGTACAGACACTGATCAACCGTTCTCAAGTGAATGCTGTTGCAGTTGTCGGGCGGTTTCCTGATGATGATGTTGATGACGTTGACGATTATCGACAAGGCGTGGTATGCTTGTCATCGTTCAACTTTTTCGAGATTCGCAATGTTGAATAGTCCTGAAACCTTGCCAGCTATTATAACTGTGCTTAACCTGAGTGTCTTTTGTGTTTATCTTAAGAAACTGTCTTCCGCTAATGATAGTTTGACTTTGCAGGGAATAGATGTATTGGCTGGAGTTGAGGCAATTATAAGCCATCTTGTGGTGAAGGAGTTCCAGATTCCTTGTGCACATGCTCCCGCAATGCTTCCTCTTCCTTTGACCCCGATGCTTTCCCCAAAATCAGCTGCGGAGGAGGTTCGACTAGAAACAAAAACTTTGGAAGTTAACTTCCTTGAAGCAATATGCACTGCATTTTTGTAGATAGTTTTGCTATTACTTCCCTCATTATTTCTGTTTATTTCAATGGTATTTCACAGATAGGTTACACTTTCTTGCCCTGTGTGCTCGTGGGACTAAGCAAAGCACCTCAATACAAGGTGAACTCTCATTCCTTAGGGAAGGATTGTTTATATGCAAGTGATGTGGATAGTGTAGTCCTTCCTATGGACTCATGCGGAGGAGATGCTGCCCTTGCATTTTCAAGAAGCAAGGGAAAGAAGGTACATGTAGAAAAACCATCAATTAATCGCATGTTTTTTTTTTTGTTGAAAGAACAAAAATGCATGACCACAATGTTCTTGGAGGCTCTGGAGATCTGGTTGATGTCATTTTGGCTTCGTACAGCTGACCCTGTTTTTCTATCTCAAACGAGCCGTTTCTATAGGCCACTAAGTCCTCATAATTTACTGTTAGTTTGTTCTTTTTCAGCCACTCATAATTGTGGTGGAGGAAAATGAGACAGTCCTGGACAGCACTCCAGATAAATTCGGGATGGAAGTGGTATGCTTTCTAAAACAAACAGCTTAATCCAAACATCAATGAACTTTGTTTGAAAGCTTAGATGCCAAACACCATAGAGACTCAATGTGTTCTAAATTCTCATGTACTAAACAAATCAAGTATGTTCTTACATTGCAGATAAAGGTTTCGAACTACTGGGAAGCAATAGGTGTTATAGCTGCTCACAAGGCAGGAATCAACCCCCATTCCCTAAGAAGAGATGGAATTGCAAACATCCGCAAGAACAGTCCTGTTAGGCATGCTAATGGGTTCACTGTTTCTCTGCCACGTTGATAAGAGTATTCATAACAAGTGCTTCACACGACAACTCTGTCCTTTCCTCTTCTTCAGCCAGTTACTCGCATACAATTCCAACGGTAAGAAGAAAAAAAGTCATTCTAGAGAATAGGGCCGTTGATGCTGTTCTAATGCCACAATACATGAATGGATCCCTGACTTGTTTCACTTGCTAAATCTTTTCAGGGTGATCTTCATGTATGTCTGTATGAATGGCAGAAGGCTACATGGATGACGGGCGATGACTTGGCTGGGGTAGTATTTTACTAGTGAAATTCACCATATGGCAATTGCCATGGAGAGCTTCCAGACCCCAGTCTCTTAAACACTCAGAACGGCGTCTAAGATGGATGATTGATCATGCAGTGATATCAGCTCACCAGCAACTTCTCTGGTTTATTCTTGTTACTTTCTGTTACTGCATTGCGAATAGGAACCAGTCATAGCACTAGTGGGTAGTCCGCCGGGCAATCAGTATTTTGAGTGCCTTTCTTTGCTTACATTTTTGGAGTCTAAGCTCCACTTCATAGTTTTAAATTATGAAAGTGAAATGGAAAGCCTCCTTTCTCTCGGTTGTTGAATTCAGGAAAGGCTGCAAGTGAGAGTATGTTTGCAGAACTGAGGGAAGGGGCTATTTGGAAAAATCACAATAATTTGGGGACTAATAATCGCCGGACTATTTGAAGAACTGACGGAAGGGGCACTTTGAAAAACAACAATAATTTACGGACTAATATGCGCGGGCCAAAAAAGTATCTTAAACCGTTAATATGCCCTACTTCATTGGCTCAAGGCCCATGGTCTGATGTGATAAACCAACTGGGCGCAGGAAAGGCCCATTTACGCGCAGGAAAGGCCCATTTACTGTCATTTATCATGCAACCTCCAGGTCCAGGCTCAATCATATCCGTTCTCCTTTTTCTTTTTAAATTTTCCTACTGGTGGTCGTTTTTGCTTTTAAAACAAACGCTCGCATAAACCCTAGCGGTTTTTCCTTTTTCGCTTTTGGCACTCATAAACCCTACCTGCGTAAACTTGAAGAAAACAAACACCTCTGCGGAAGGAAGAGAGAAATTTGGGTGCCAGAGTCGGAAGAAGAAGATGAGGAAGAAGGTGGACGAAAGAATCAGAACCCTAATCGAAAATGGTGTCAAATTGAGGCACCGTTCCCTGTTTGTCATAATCGGAGACAAATCGCGGGAACAGGCAAGCAGAATCTCTCCTTTCTTTCTTTTTACAATAAATGTTTGGTGGAAAGCTTACAGTAGGCGTTAGTATCCGTACTCGAGGGGCTGAAAGTTGGTGGTTTTGTGGGTTTTCCTTGTAGATTGTTAACCTTCATTACATGCTGAGCAAGGCAGTGGTGAAGTCCAGGCCGACTGTTTTGTGGTGCTACAAGGATAAACTTGAACTCAGCAGGTATTTGAACTGAACCTTCTCGACCTGAGAGGAGAATGGTTAATTTTTCTTTATTGTAATGTCAATTGTTTGTGATTGGGTTTCATTCGATGATGTTGTAGTCACAAGAAAAAGCGAGCCAAGCAGATTAAGAAGTACATGCAGAGAGGGCTTTTGGACCCTGAGAAGGTTGATCCTTTCCAGCTTTTTGTTGAAACTGGAGGATTAACTTATTGTTTGTACAAGGACTCCGAGAGAATACTCGGAAATACTTTTGGAATGTGCATATTGCAGGTTAGACTTCACGTCTCTTTTGTCTTCTCAAGTTGTCCCCTTTTCACCTTTTGTTTCCCCCCGGTTGTTGTGTGTTTTTGCTTCGACTCTTCTGATTTTGCCAGCTTTGTTTCAGGACTTTGAGGCATTGACACCGAATCTCTTGGCCAGGACAATAGAAACAGTAGAAGGTGGCGGAATTATCGTATTGCTTCTGCGTTCTCTCTCATCCTTGACCAGTCTGTACACCATGGTCATGGTAGGATTGATTTTCCATTGTCTAGTAATATATTGTTAAAAAGAGAGATGATTGAGAAAGTAAGGAAATGAAGACTGTCTGAACCTGCCTTGGGCTTTGAGTTTAAAATTTACCTGTGCTTTCTTTTATCCTCTCCATTTATTAATACTAAATTACTGGACTCTAGATACATTGTAGGCTGTGTTGTGATTTTGTATAAACAATGACTATGGTGGCAGAATTTGGAGCTGTTAGAGAGCTAATATAGCGTTTGCTTATGTGTATGAATAACATTGGAATGTCTTTCAATTTCCAATGTGCATTGTTCTTGGCAAAACACAACCTGTTTTGCATAGTTTAAATCCTTGTTATTCTTACTTGAAGTAATGAGAGGGATTCTTGATTTCAGGATGTCCATGAAAGGTTCCGTACAGAATCCCATTCTATGTCTACTGCGCGGTTCAATGAGCGGTTTTTGCTGTCGATTTCCTCATGCAAAGCATGTGTAGTCATGGATGATGAACTGAATATTTTACCAATATCCTCTCATATAAGGGCAATCACTCCCGTACCAGTTAAAGAGGTGATAGTTTCTTTTTAACTTCATTGTAAACATTTCACATAAGTCTTGTCTGCTGCAATCTGCCTTGTGCTCCAGTCCTTTACTGGAATAACAAGGCATCTCATGACTGCTTTTCAACCATATTGTATTTGCTAAATACTTTTCTGTCGGGTGTTTAAAGGACTCTGAAGGTCTTTCAGAGGCAGAACGAGACTTGAAGAACTTAAAAGAAGAGCTGCATGATGAATTTCCTGTTGGTCCTTTGGTCAAGAAGTGTTGTACATTAGACCAGGTACCACCCGATTCTCTATTTCTGCACATTTATTAACGTATGAACACAAAATAATGGATGACCAACATAAAGAAAAGCTTCATTTATGACAGGGCAAAGCTGTAATTACGTTTTTTGATTCAATCTTGGAGAAGACGCTGCGTAGCACAGTGGCTTTACTTGCTGCACGTGGACGCGGGAAGTCAGCAGCACTTGGTTTGGCAGTGGCAGGGGCTGTTGCAGCCGGGTAAGGCTAATACTGCTGCTATTTCTTGTGTTCATAACACGTGCATGGAAACGAGCTGTAATTGTAATTAAAAATCTTGCTTTCAGGTATTCCAACATATTTGTAACAGCACCAAGCCCGGAAAACTTAAGAACACTGTTTGAGTTCATATGCAAGGGCTTTGATGCCCTCGATTACAAGGTGACTGTATCCTCCTTCTGTGGATTGCTATATCAATCTCCTTGCTCTCTGTCTTTGGATTCGTTGTAAGAATTTAGAGTGCAGGTGCTTCATTCTGGAGTTTCTTTTGTGAAATCTACAGCCTGTCCTAACTTGCTCACTTAGCTGTACATTCCCTTTGGTAGTTTAATTGTTACCATGATTCCTGATAGTTCTAGAGTTTCTTTTATTTACGTTACATTTATTGTTATTTGTATCTGTTTATTGAAAGTACATCATGGTTTTCCCCCAGGAACACATGGATTACGATGTTGTTAAGAGTGTTAGTGCTGAATTCAAGAAGTCAGTTGTCCGGATAAATATCTACAAGCAACACAGACAAACAATTCAGGTTTGCTGAGGTTGTTTAATGTTTTATTTCAAATCATTTCTCCAGATTAGTCCATCTGACAGCAACCTTTTTTTCTTTTTCTTTCCTGTGTCTTGTGCTTTGTTACAGTACATACAACCTCATGAATATGCAAAGTTATCCCAAGTTGAATTACTCATCATAGATGAAGCTGCTGCTATCCCATTGCCAGTTGTGAAGTGCTTGCTTGGTCCTTATCTCGTCTTTCTTTCATCTACCGTGAATGGGTATGATGCTTTAGCTTTGTGATCCAACTGCATTTTTCAGATTGATTTGTCTAACTAGCTTTATCTATCTCGTGCTCTAACATCTGCTTTACCATTTTGGATATATCTACCAAAAGGTATGAAGGAACCGGACGGTCTTTGTCACTAAAACTGCTGAATCAGTTACAACAACAAAGTCAATCAAATGCTAAAAGTGCAGAGGGGTCTCTTTCTGGTAAGCGAGTGTCTTATGTTGATCTTTTATTCCATTGCACCAATGTTTGCTAAACATTAGATATTAATAGGCGAAACATAATAATATCAGGAGTGTTACTCCTTTGGAAAGGAAGTCATCTGTACTGTGTATTGATAATCTGTTCATAGTTAGTTCAATTTAACTGGATTTAGGTGGATCAAAACCTTAGCCAGTTAACATTGAAGAAGAATGGGGTAAGAATTCTTTGTAAAATAAACTTTTCTTTTTTATCTGTTAAATGCAATTTTGTTATTCTTTGTAGGCCGCCTTTTCAAGAAAATTGAGCTCAATGAGTCTATAAGATATGCCCTTGGTGACCCCATAGAATCCTGGCTTAATGAATTGCTTTGCTTGGATGTCTCGAGCTCGATACCTAAAATCAGCAGGTCGGATGCAGCACAACTATGTGGAAAAAGTTGCCTGGTGCTTTAAATTCTATTTTGAACCAGCCTTTATTCTATGCACTGATTGTTGACTGCTTTCAGTAATCTTTCTTGCTCTGACCAGGTTGCCTCCTCCTGATGATTGTGTTCTCTATTATGTAAACCGCGATACACTTTTCTCATATCACAAAGATAGCGAAGAGTTTTTGCAGGTGAAATTGCCCTCGTTTCATTTTTTATTCTATCGAAATCTAATCTTGTCTCATGGTCTCTTAACTAATACAAGGGATGGCTTGGTTCATGCAGAGAATGATGGCGTTGTATGTTTCATCACATTATAAAAACTCTCCTAATGACTTACAGTTGATGGCTGATGCTCCTGCCCACCATTTATTTGTGCTTCTTGGTATGCTGCTTGTTTAGGAAACTATTTATGCATCGTGTTTTAGCTATGGATAGTTTTCAACTGATATATTTACTGCAGGCCCGGTTGATGAGTCAAAAAATCAGCTTCCTGATATTTTATGCGTTATTCAGGTAAAACCCCTGAGGTCAGATGTTTTCTTACCATTTTTAGTTTCACTGTGTATATGATTCCTTAAATAGAAAGTATATTATTTTGTTCATGTTTACTATGGTACATTCTATTTTTTACTGCTTGTATTTATCTAGGGGTTCAGTCCACGCTAGGCTGAGTCAGTATTTGGTTCAAATTGGTCCTGGTTGAATATGAGATGATTCGGTTTCGTTCCTGAATTAGTCTTTTTTTGCCTTCGATTCTGTGATCCTCTTAAAAAGGAAGGAAATGTGGACAGAATAGGGACTGGATCCAGACAAATTGGTTCAAATGCGATTTTGGTTCGAGTCTTGTCCTCATTTCCCTTTATTTTCGATCCAGTTTTCTGGACTTGACCATACCATGCACACCTCTTTTCATCTTACCAGGGGAATAACTATGCTTCTTTATTCAAGATTCTTGAGTTGAGTGTGTCACACATGTCTATTCTTCTGCTATTCATTCTATCTTTAGATTCACAAAGGCATGTATTTACTGTTTTATTTGTACCCAATAACAGCTACTAGGGTTTAAATTTTGTTGTTGCTGGTCTGGGATTTCTATGCAAGTTCTATTTGTGTGTTATGGTTGTTTTTCTGATCAATGTAATTCTCACAGCATTTGATCTTCTTAACTGGTAGGTCTGCCTTGAGGGCCATATATCTCGTAGATCTGTAATGAAAAGCTTAAGTGAAGGT